AAGGCCTGATCCATAACAGAACATATCATCATTGCTTACTCAACAATAACTCATTCGTTGCTTCAACAGCAAACATCCACTCAATTACTCAAAAACCCTCTTCCACACCCACAAACTCCTACTATTAGTATAATGCCTCAACCCCTCCATCCCCCACTCCATGCCCACTCCACTCTCTTTATGCCCCCCAAACGGCACTCTGGGATCAACATCAAAGTGCGAATTCACCCACACACTCCCCGCCTCCAACTTCCGTGCCATGGCCTCTGCGCGCGCAATGTCCTTACTCCACACCGATGCGCCCAGCCCCGTTCTGAGCGCGTTGGCGCGGTCGATGACGTCGTCTTCGTCGCGCCATTTGAGCAGTGGGACGATGGGACCGAAGGGCTCTTCTTGGACGATGCGGGAATTTTCGGGTGGGTTGTCGATGATGGTGGGTGTAATGTAGTAGCCGGTTTGGGGGGTTGGGGTTATGGTGCCGGCGAGGGCGGAGGCCCAGTTTTGGAGGGGGATTTGGGCGTACATGTTTTGGACTTTGTCGAATCTGGGTAACGTGTCAGTACAGAAATTGAATGAAGTGAGGTAATATGTACTTACTGCATTCTATTCTGCAACGGTCCTACTACAACGCCCTCTTCCGTCCCAGCGCCAGTCTTGATATTCTCCCTTGTAAACTCAACCATCTTATCCCGGAACGTGTCGTAAATGCTCTCATGAATGTAGATACGCTTCGTCAACATGCATATCTGGCCTGAATTGAGAAAACTCAACGTCGCGATCTTGGGCAGACATTTGTCGATGTCCACGTCTTCACACACAATCGCTGCGTCATTCCCACCTAGCTCCAGCACATACCGCTTCAGCGTTTTCGCACAGGATGCTGCGACCAGCTTGCCTGTTGCTATCGAGCCTGTAAATGATATCTTGTCGATACCAGGGTGCTCTGTGATCCAAGGACCGAGTTGGTCGTCTCCGCTGAGTACCTGCACGACACCTGAAGGGAACACGGTCATGGCCAGCTCTCCGAGCTTGAGGTCGCAGTATGGTGTGTACGGCGATGGCTTCATGATGAACGTGTTTCCTGTGATGAGTGCTGGACCCAGTTTGCCTAGGCCTAGTAGGATAGGCCAGTTCCAGGGCACGATACCGGCGCATACGCCGATGGGTGGGTGGGTTGAGTAGATGGTCTTTTCGTCGTCTTCTTGTAGGACTTCGTCTTTGATCTCCATCGTCGCGAAGGCGCGGAGCCAGGTCAGTGCGCAGTCCATCTCGGTTCGGGATAGCGATAGTGGTTTGCCTTGCTCCGAGGTGAGGAGTTGCTCCAGCCCATCGCGGTGGTGTTCTATCGTGTCGGCGTACTTGAGGAGTAGTTTTGCGCGCTCGGAGAAGGGTGTGAGGCTCCATGTCTTGAATGCTTTGCGCGCTGCGTCTACGGCGGCATCTAGATCTTCCTGCCTGGCTACTGGCACTTCGTAGAGCGGTTGACCGGTGGCTGGATTGATTGAATGCCGCGTTTCAGGGGTTGGGACGAGCTGGTTATTGATGATATTGCCTAGGTAGGTCTTTGTGTCGAGTTTGGAAGCCATCTGGATTTGCTCGTCCTTGAAGACCTTTCAAGATTCGGATCGACTTGCAGACAAGGATGCGCACAGCAACGGCATAGTTATACGCATAGCTACCTAGGTAGATGCGGCCAAGTTCTGATGGCTGCGGTTGAAGTGGGGTTGACATCGTACAGACGCGGGGTAAGCATCACACTACGAGCTGTCATCGTTCGCATATGCTCGGTGACCATCTGATTCGTAGAGTGTATATTGTCTTTGCTTGGTGTTGGGCCCATCGCGGTTCCTAGGGATTGATGACGCAGTGGGTCAGCGGTGCACGGATGCCAACATCGACGACGCGGGGATGCGACGCGTCTTCGATCACGCTCCAACCACCCCATCCGCTCCATCACCATCACCATCACCAAGCCATCCTGCGGCACCACCCGTCTCTACGTTAGGACACGCGCAAGGAGATACCAGGCTCGACTTCACCGCCATGAAGATCTCGTGCGAGCCAGATGTCGGCTGAGGCATGCTTTCCCCGCCAAGCATCATGAAACGGCTATCAAACTCATCCTCTTCGGCACGACTCGACAAGACCCCTACCTCGTTCTAAGATCGCCCAGCTGAGCCCAGCCGTCACTCGTTCTCTAGGGCCTGTCGGTTTCAATTAAGCTCATTGTCACCCCGCTTAAGCCTCTTCGAACAGGGCACAGAAGCTCGTACAAGCATTCAACCGCCGCAAGGTCGAACGCCAAGATGCATCTGTCACGACTGCTGAAACTGAGCTCTCCGTATTACCCGGGCTGGAAGTAGAGATATAATGGCGATGAAGTCCACAGTAAGGCGACAATGAATGGAACCTGACTATCTACTCAAAATGCCTTTCATGCACTCAAAAGGTGCTACTACGCTCGGTCATACTTTCCGGTGAGCACCATCATTGCTTTCAGATTCGCAAGGCTGAACCGCTAACCAGAGGTAGAAACTTCGATCAGACGATCATCACAGTCAAAGTCGGCGGAAAAGACTACGCCGAGTCTTTCAGTTGCCACCGCGAACTCCTTCGACGATGCTCTCCATACTTCAACACGTGCTTAGAGGAGAAGAGCAACTCGCCCTACGAGAAGTCGGGAACTACACTAGACCTCGACGACACAACCCCTGACGTGTTTGACGCGTTCATGCTATGGTTATACACAGGCTTCATACCACACCATCTCATCGAGGGAGGGAAGGAAGTCCACCCACCGACTCATGCAGTCAGTGTCAATGGCGGCGACAGTTCGAGCACCACCGGTCAGGAGGAGGGCGATGATGTGGATACTGCGTCTTGGGGCATTGCTTTAGAGACCGACGATACGGAAGCGGACGCCGTGCCGGCCAACGCTGCCGCTGCAAGCAGCCCTGCCCCCAGTGCAGAGAAAGTCCCTGGCGATGCTGAGCCCGAAAAGGCTGCCGCAGTACCGCCTCCACGAAACCCAGCTGAGAAACCTGAGATACCTAAAGAGACGCTGTGCCCATGCTGCTCAAGACCATACAAGTGGAGAGGGCTGGAAGGCTTCTTAGAGCGCCGATTCATATCACTCTACGTCTTCGCACACCGCTACGCCATCCCGAAGCTGCGTCGCGCCGTCATCTTAGCGTGGCAAACGAACGACGAGATCCTGCAAGTCATGCCCGACCACAGCAATGTCATCGCCGCCTACGAGAGCCTACCACCAGACGCACCGCTGTGCCGATACTTCCTCGATATGTACTCCGTGTACTGGAACCCCGACCGCGACGACGAGCGCACGATAGCCCTGCGAAGTCAGCTTCCGCAAGCTTTCTTATTCGAGCTGGTAACAATGTTGGCGAGGGGGGAGAGGCCAAAGATGGAGAAGGAATGGTGCGAGTTCCATGAGCACGAGAGCGAAGAGGAAAAGAAGGCTTGCTTGGATGACTTGGCCAAGGACCCCGTTGCGAGCAAGGCACTCAGGCGCATCAAGGATAGCAAAGGCTGGAAGGGGCTGGTGCTCAAGAAGGGAAAGAGATGAGACAATGAGGATCAACTGCATACGCATCATGGCATGGCGTTTCGGAGTCGCATAACATTGGCATATCCCGGTTACACAATTAGCAAAATTTATTCTCATTGCATTCACATTCCCAATTTGGCGAACAATATCCACATATGCCTCCCCTAAGCCGCTAACACTCGTGTTCTCCGCTTCATCAGCAAGCTGAGGAATGCGGGGAAGCAACACGAGCTCTCCTGACCGCGCCAGACATATCATCAGATGTTCAACTCAGCCATCTCCGTTATATGTACCCCATGGCATCTTTGTAGCAGTGGGTTGCGGGCAGCGCTAGGTGATGCGGCGAAAGCCATGGAGTCGCTGCTTCCATTCGCGTGCATGGACTTTTTGCTTGGCGTCTGCGCACGTCTTGCAGTACGAGATCAAGGAGTCTTGTAAGACTATAGTGGCTCAGAGTTACGTGTGGATATCGTGTTAGCTGAGATGGCTTCGTACTGGCTTGGTCATGAGTGTCGATGGGGTGGCGCTGCTGCAACGCTGATGCGAAATGCGTGTCTTGGAGGTACTGTAATGGTGTGAGTGCGATACGATGCCGAAGTAGGAATCACACAGCTGTGATAGAGCGTCCCGAGTATAAGAAGGTCTTTCTGCTCCGCTCAAAATTTGACACCTGCACAAGCAAAGCGATACAGTAAACCAACACCCACTTCAATCGACCATCTACTCATCAAACTTGCATCAGCCAAATCGCTTAACCTCATCATGAAGACATTCACCATCGCCGTAGTCTCCTCCCTCCTCGCCCTCACCACCGCCCTCTCTCCGCCTTACGAACCCCCCTGCGACACATGCATCCCCACTCCCGACCAGAACAAGTGCGACATCACCACCTCCTGCACCTATGTATGGGGCCACGACAACCCCCATACGCCTGGTCCAAATTATTGCGCCTGTCGCCATGGGTATCGTACGTCTCCCCTCACTTCCCTCCTTCAAACCGCCATCGGTTCATCGACATGTGCGCTTACACATCCAACAGGCGCGACAGGCTATAAAGCCGACGACTTCGAAGTGCAATGGCGACTACCATGGTACGGTACTCCAAATGGCGACCCGAGCCAGGAGGGTAGAGTGTTTGTGAAGCCGGGAGTGGAGTGCAATACGCTTTGTGATGATTGGCATCTTGGGAAGGATGGGTGTAAGGCTGTGCAGGTGAAGAAGTGGTGTATGTAGGGGAGAGCAGTAATGGTAGTGGTAGCGTCGGTCAACTGAGATTCTGGTATACGACCCTTCCGTAGTAGACGTGCTATAGTCAGGAATTAATCTTTGCTGTTTGTAATCCTTCGTAACTATTACTGACTAGAGTTCGAATTGGTTTGACACCAGAATCTTAGCGCTTACTCGCCTGTCCTTAGCAATTGTTCGACTGATCTCAGCGCTTGCTTTCCTGGTCGTGGTTCCCAAGGTGAATGGTCTGGCCAATATGGGGAGCCGCTGACGCAGAGTTCAGTTCTCGCCATAGCTCCAATTCTCTTTGTGTAGGTGGAGTTGTTTCATTAGCCAATTTTGCCTTTATCCTATCCCTCTCCTTCTTATTTTTGAGTACAGTTCGCACGGTATTGAGTCTTGCTGGTGCGTATCTCGGTCCTTGCTCGCCTGCTCTCCGACCGACCTGTTCATGCAATTGATCTATACTCAATGGTCCGAACATCTTTTCGAAATCATCATTCGTCAGACCCCTCGGGTCCATGAAGCGCTCTGGCAAAGCCTTGTCAGGCGAAATGTTCCCACGTTTACCAACAAGTTTCCTCTTGGACACAATCCGCACTCGCTTGAAACTTGTAATGTCCTCTTCTTCATGCTCTGCATCGGCGTATGAACCCTGATCCTGCCCCTGATCCTGCTCTGCGGTAATCACAGCTTTTAGTGGAATCATTGACCCCTTCTTAGGCAGATTTGGCGACGAGGCCGTGGCCTGTAGCGGAAGTTCATCATCTTGAATCGCGGTTATTCTGCGGAACCGAATCTGACATGTCATGCATTCTATTTCAGCATCGCTGGAATACTTCGATTGGGTGTGGCATCCTGGACATGTAGTGCTATTGCTCTCGCCAGCGGCATCTTGATTGAAGATGAAGCTCATTTCAATTCGTTGACCAGGTCTGAAAGCTGCGTGCCATGGACGGGACAATCCGATCTCTCTTCCCGTACCGCTGGCTTGCAAGGCGTACTGACGCCTTCTCATCTTGCTCTGGCCTGGCATGTCCTGGAAACGCAGCTCAAGTGCGGAATGGAAAGCATCCCAAGAGGTAATCCATTGCAAAGAGAAAGGCGCGACACGGCCAATGGGGTCTTCCAGCGTTATCAATTCTTCCGAAATGCCTCGCTCCAGGTACCTGGGGAGGGTTTCTTGCAAGCGGGTGATGGCATCGTAGATCGCAAAGTTGATCACCATCACACTTTCCATCTTGCCTTTGATCTCACAACCTAGCTGACGAATCCAGTCAAACTTGAGTGCTTCTGAAACCTTGGTTAACATCGAAGTGCCGGCCTCGATGTTCATGTTGGCAGTTTTCATGCCATCTTTGATGTCATCAAGCGCCGCATGTTGTGAAGTAGTGGTAATGTCGTTTCTGAGCTGAGCTCCGTCGAGCTTTTCGTTCATCTCCTTTCGATTAACGCTCAGGAGTGCACTATACGGTATCAGTACGGAGATATTCGACAAGTGAATCATGGCGCTCACAAATTCGCTATCGCTAACAACGTCTGGAGCGATGAGGTAGCCCTTACCACCTCCGCATAAAACTCCACCAGAGCCTCCTTTTCCCCAATTCGCCAGCGAACTGCCATCGTCACTTCTTTGAGCTTGTTTGTTCCATGCGATTTGTCAAAGGCAGTCTGGTATCTTCCAATTCGTGCTAGAAAGGCACCACCCAGGTCGTGACATCTAGCAACAGCTTGCTTTGACGTTTCGCAAAGAGTGCATAACTCTGGTGTAACAAGTCCCGGCTGAATGACATATGTATTCACTGTGTCGATGATTTCGTTCAGATTGTTGATAGCCTGGACAACATCGCGATATTCAGCTTTAGACCCGCGGGCCTCGTCGAGCGTCGCAATAAGATCTTTCGCCAACAAAGCAACCGATATTATGTCACCAACGGCACCGAACGTGATTGACATAGTGGGATAAGGAGAAGATGTCAGGGTACACTGAGTGGTGACATGGAAGGAAATATCTGTTGTTCTGAAGCTGCGCCTGACCCCGCTTGAGTGAAGTCACACAAGATGGCTGAGTCGCTAAGCCTCCACGAGGTCCAGCCAGTAACATGTCACACATACCACGCCACTTCATATCGCGACTGCCTGCCGATGCGGCACAGTTGCCAAGACCGCATCCTTCTAGTTCGACCTCACCTCACTTTGAGACGAATAACCACTCTCAGTGTCCGACTTCTTCTCATCTGTACGCACCTTGAAGCGATCGGTCTTTTCATCAGCCCAGTGCGGGCGCGCATCGAACGCGAACTGCAGAATCTCTGGACGCTGGTAGTGGCCTGCCGCATCGATCCACACCTTTACCGATCCCATGTGGGAGAAGTCAATCTCGCCCTGCACCAACTTTTCCTCTCCGCCCGTGTGCGGACCAGCGATGTACGAGCAGAACGGATGGAGGACAGAAGACCAGCCGCCGCCAGCCTTGACGAGGTCCTGCTTTCCGAGGTTCTCTTCCATCCAGTCGAGGCACTGTTGGTCGACGTAGTTGGAAGCAGTGATGACGAAGACTTGGGCAGTGAGGGCATGGGCCTTCATCAACGCCTCGATCTGCGCATCGGCAACCGCTTCGAAGCCGGCCATAGTGGACAATGCCGGCCAAGCTCCCGCATGAATGTGCTGGTTCTGTGTGATGAGGGCCTGGCGCGCGCCGTTCATGGTATGCTCCCAACACGCGAGACCTCCGAGGTTGTACCCGAGCGACAATGGCCAGTTGCGCAATGTACTTCCGTTGCCCTGAGCCCACACCATGCGCTCGACATAGGTTGGCTGGAGCTTCCGATGAACACCGAGTATAGTGCCGTCGCTATCGATAATAACTTGCGAATTAAACAGCGTATAGCCGTTGGCGACACGTTCGCACACGCCCAGATTGATGGCTACACCGGTCCTGCGACAGGCATCCTGGATAGCACTCACATCCTCCCCATTCGGCTCCACCACAACGCTCTCTTCGGCGTATTTGGCCAAAGCAGCGACCTGCTTTAGGGGTGGGTAACATTCGATCCAGTACTGTGGTAATATTAGCCTGAGCCCCAGCATACCAAGTTTGAGATAACAGCCGATGCACATACAGGATAGCCAGGAATGAAGGTCTCGGGGAACACCAAGAGCTTGACATCATCTTTCGCAGCTTGTTCGATGAGGCGGATAGTCTTCTTGATGGTGGCAGCTTTGTCCATGAAGACAGGCGCAGCGTGGGCGGCAGCCACCTTGAACTTGGTTTCCTTGGGTGCCATCTTGTTGCAGCGCGATAATCGGGGTTCCTACTCGATGAATTGAGTCAAGACTGTCAGGCTGGTGAAACTGCGGAGAAGAGAGCTGTCGTGGACCCAGATTTCTTTGTTAAGGTTGCTTGCTACCTGCCAAGATCGCCGCTTCCGGTCGGTCACCGTACAACGGCGGCCGCTGCGGCACGTCGTTATCTCCCGCGTCGTGGAAAGGTCCGATTGCCCAACTGCCAGCCCTTCCCGGATTGCCAAACAATGCAACTGCACATGAAGATCGTTTGTCATCGGGCTAGTGCGCATCAGGTACCCGGCTCGTCACACCACGCGTTCTCGCAGCCAGGTGAGCCTATACTAATATAGCTAGCGTCGACTCCATTTCGCACCGAAACCGGCACTCTCCCCGAAAACACTGGCATTCACTCGTTGCACAATCGGTGCGATTACGCGGGAAACTCATCCGACTGGACATGTGATTGCACGGCCTTATGGGTTCACTGCAATAAATGCATGTCGTGACACAGAAAACCGCCGAGTGAATGGGGGTGCAAAACCCAAAAGCCTGCACGGCGATAATACAACTTGACCCTGTGCATCAAATGATGTTGTACCATTCTCTGACGCTTCGCAAACCAAACTGCGTGATTCCGACGACAACCGGCTTTTGACATGGCGTTCGATTATTTTGCAAACCCCCCTCCGGGTCTCGACTTGAACGAATCCCGCACTGCTTCTAACAATGCTATCGGCGTTGTCCTTTTCGTCCTTTCTCTCGTTTTCGTGGGCTTACGCCTCTACACTCGCTTGCACGTAAAGCGTGAGCCACTGGGTCTAGATGATTATCTCATGTTTCTCGGTCTGGCGCTGAACGCGGGCAACCTAGCATGCTGCATTGCAGGTAAAGCAATCGATCCCGCAAGACTAATCACGGGTGCTAACGTCCAGACTAGGCGGCTTCTACGGCCTTGGGAAGCACATCTGGTCCTTGGGACCGTATGAGATGCGACAGATTACGATAGTGCGTTGCGACTTCCAGGACCCCACAAGTATCGCAGTGCTGACCACAGCAGATTACATTCGCATATGTCTTCATCTACGCATGGAGTGTGTGCATTATCAAGTTCTCGATCCTGGCGCTATACCGCCGCATATTTGGCCTCTCGTACTTTGGCTATTTCTGCATCGGTCTCACTACAGGTTATCTTATCACCAACCACATCGTCCTACCGCTCTACACGCGACCACTGCACTATTACTGGAACCAGTGGTACGGAGATAAAGGCGTGGTCCAGGTAGACGAGGCAAAGGTGAGAATACTCCAAGACCCAACTGCAACTGCGACTGACCAAGATGTAGTTCTATCTCGGTGTCGGCATCATCAACCTTTTCGGCGATGTGTGCATCCTTACGATACCCATAGCGAGCGTGCTTAAGCTCCACATGGGACGTACCCAGAAGGTGGCAGTCTGTCTCACGTTCCTTCTTGGTAGCTTGTACGTTACAGTCCTACGTCAGTCCCTACGACAAAGTTTCACTAACAAATACAGCGTCTGTTTTGCTTCACTCTACCGCATCATCACCATCACCCACCTCGTCCAGTCGAAAGACATCAGTTGGGCAAAGAGCGACGTCTTCATCTGGTCCTCCGTAGAACCCTCCATCGGCATCATTTCCGGATGCCTACCCACCCTGCGACCACTCATGATGAAAGTGATCAACGCACTCTCAACCCGCCTGCCATCCTCCTTCAAGTCATCGCAGCACTCCGAATCATCCGGCCCCTCGCTGAATCCTCTCGAAACGATATCCAAGAAGCGCACGCGCAAGATCAACCTCAAGGATACGTTGGGAGACACGATTAACAATGACACTCGGAGTCAGTGGGGCAAATCGCGATTGGATGAAGACGAAATGTGTCTCACGACAACGACTGTGCATGGGGAGTGCCCGGGTACTGCACTGTGCAAAGAAGGCAGTGTAACCACAAGCGAGCTCTCGCAGAGTATGAGGAGAGAAAGAGGGATTACTATGACGAAAGAATTCGCATGGGATGAGGGAACGCATGACCAAAGCCCAGACAACAAGGTCTAGACAAGTAGTAAAGCGACCGCGCATTTCTCTCGGCTTTTGATCGTACCCGCACCATGCAACGGAAGCAGGACTTGGACCAACGTGAACATCCCACCAAAGCTCAGCTTTAGGCAGTGTTAGACAGACGAATCGACGCGATACCCCTCACGAAGCCAGTATACCATCCCACCATCGGCAAGACTAAACACCGTCCGGAAAATGTTGCGTATTAGAATGCGACGCGTCGCGGCCTCTCGAACGCCACTAATACGACCAACGGATTGCGTAGCGCTCATCGCGACAGCCTGTACTGGCCCACGCGTGATGGTCGACCTATCGCATGCGCTAGAGTGTCTGACGAACTCGGGGTAGGTGGTGAGAAACGGAAAAGGCTTGGAAGGGAACGCGACGAATGCGACGGGACGGGACGGGTAGCTGCCCAGGTGCACGGGAAACATACTAGCGTGGCCGATCTATGACCAGGCGCGACTGGGTAACACCCTGACAGCTCATGTAATGCATCATACACTTTACTTTCGATCTAGATGACCAGTGAACGTGACGTGAATTATGATAGGTGACTTTGTTCAGTCTTCGAAATTTGTGCCTGCAGCCATAGTTCCGTCTCATGGCCGAATGTGGTATAGCGTTTTTGCACTCTCGTCGATCATCCCGGCGTTTTGCACGTTGCGGCCACACATCTACCCGGCGGAGATAGTTGTCGCAGCAGCACCACCACCACCTTGAAGAAGCGCCACAAGAAGCCTGCCTTTTCGTCCGAATTGGAAAATGACAATGGTGCACCATGTATATAAGAGGCACTGTGCATCTGCAGAAACTGAGATGTCAATATCAACGCACCTCCCGACTAAAGCTTCACCATGCAAGTTTTCAAAGACTTCGACCCTGCAAAGGACATTCTAGACCTTTCCGGAAAAGTGATCTTGGTGACTGGAGGTGGTTGAACTTCTTTCTCGTCGTTGACATTCTTCTGACAGTCATGTTAGGCACCGCAGGATTGGGAGAGGAAAGTGTGCGAGCACTGGCGGCGCACAGTCCATTACACATCTACTTCACGGGCCGCAATGTCACTGCAGCGAATGCACTCATCGCCGACATCAAAGCCAAGCACCCGACGACATCTTTGAGCTTCATCGAGATGGATCTCTCGTCCCTTCGCGCAGTCAAAGAGGCCGTCGCTCGAGACTTCAAACATGATCGCCTCGACATACTGATGAACAACGCCGGCATCATTGCCAAACCAGCAATTTTGAGTACTGATGGTTACGAGATTCAATTCGCGACGAACTATCTCGGCCATGCGATGCTCGCCAGAGAGTTGATGCCCATCCTACTCAAAACAGCCAAAGAGCCCGGTGCAGACGTCCGTGTCGTCAGCAACACGTCCGCCGGTTACGAGTTCCATCGCGCCATCAAAGGTGGCATTTCCTTCGATGAGCTTGACGCTGGAAGCACGATGTCTCGAATGATGCTAGGCGCATGGATTCGTTATGGCCAGTCCAAACTCGCAAACATCCTCTTCGCAGCGGAGCTCGCGCGTCGGCATCCTGAGCTGACGTCTGTAGCCATCCACCCTGGACTCGTCAAGAC